ATCACCAGGTAAGGTCACAGGTCTCTCTCAGGTCCCAGGCTATGATGCCAGTTAGGCTTTTCCAAATACAACACCCAGGGTTCCAGGAGATGTAGCCCTTGGCAACTGAGACAGGGTCATCTGCAGCCAGGTCCCCAGTAGGTTCCTTTGAAGACTGGCCCCAAGCTTATCGGCTCTAGCTCTCTCCTCTGACTCCTGGGCATGGCTATAGGACAGGCTATCGGAAGGATGCCACCTCTGCCCTGATGGAAGCCCAGATCATGGTTACTGAGCCTTCAGATTCCTCTACTTCCTACGAATTTTACAGGCTGGTTCTGAAACATCTCAGAAGGACCCAACCCTCTCTGAGGACACAGAGTTAGGGGTTAGCATGGTTAGATGCTTCTAAGAATGTTATTAAGGCAGACGTGACCAATGCATCGGCAACACCAGCATTTAAACGACGGGGGTGGGCGGAGGGATTTGAAGTTATCCTTGGTTACACAGAGATTTTTGAGGCCAGCCTGGGCTATAAGAGATGCTGTCCAAAACAAAATAAAACAAACAAAACCAATGTGAATCTACTAAGTCTTTGTTATATGCACTTTCTTTTTCTTTTTGACATAGTATCTTTGAGTTTTGTTTTGCTGCTTGAGACAGGGTCTCACTATATAGCCTTGGCTCACCTAGAACTCATTAAATAGACCAGGCTGGCCTGTGACTCCCAAGTGATGGGATTAGAGATGCGGGCCTTCACGCTCAGCTGAGGTAATGCTTCTCGGGCTGACCTTGAACTCACTGTACATCTGAGGTTAACCTTGAACTCACTGTGGAGCTGAGGCTGACTTTGAACTCACTGCATAGTTAGGAATGACCTTGAACTCATTGTATAGCTGAGGATGACCTTGATGTTGGTTCTCTTACCTCCATCTCTCAAGTGTTGGGGTTACAGGCATGCACCCCATCCTGATTTGTGCAATACTGCCAATCAAACAAGCATTATTTTTCTGGGCGAAGACTCTGCCAACCAAGCCACATCTCTGAACTCTGCTGTTCTTTTTCTGAGATGAGTCTCATGTAGCCCAGACTGGCCTTAAGCTTGCTATGCAGCCAAGGATGGCATTGAACTCCTAGGTCCTCCAGCATCTACCTCCTGTTAGGATTACAGATGGATGCTACCATGCCTGCTTTGTTGTGTTTTGTTGCTAGGGATCCAAGTTGGGCTTTGTGCATTGTGTGTGTTTTAAACAGGCAAAAAGCTACCGGGAGGGAGTGGGGTGGTTGTCGGCTCAGTATAACCACTGACTCTCCCTTTGTGCCCAGATACCTTGATCAGGAAGCTGTCAACCAGGCAGCCTCTTCTTTGCCAGTCAGCCTGTCATGGCAGCAACTTGGCTCCAGTGAACTCTTCATAGTCAGTCAGAGGAAGCTCTGCTCCCCAACCATGGCAGCCTCTAGACTCCATGAGGGCTTCTAGCTGCACAAGCTGTTGGGGAGCATTTTCATGAGTCAGCAAAAACTCTAACTGGTGTTCACATGAGGCTTGGACTGGCGGCACTAGAAGCCATGCGTGCACACACAAACAAGGCTGATCGGTGGGATTACGATTCAGGAAAAGGCATGACACCTCTCTTCTAGATACATAGAGAGGCTGCTTTTCACAGTTACAGGGTTAGCCTGGGAGGCTCCTGTCCTATACATTACTCCACTTATAGTGTTGGGAACGCTACGCCCAGTAAAGGGTTCTCTTGGCTGGTATTTTGCTGATTGGTGATCTTTGTCATGGGTGGAGCAGGCTGGGCTGGTTCAGAAAGAGAGGATAAGACCCTAGAGGGCTCTACCTCAGCAGCCACAGCAGAAGGAAGACAGCTGCGGAGCACGAGAGTGGTCAAGGCAGAAACTACAGATGGCAGAGACAGAGGAAGGTGAGAAACTGCTAAGACAATGAGATTCAACCTCTGAACAGCTGCTAAGAAACCTGTGCCAAGGGGCCCAGCAACCTAGGATCTCGGGGGCTGCAGTACACACCCCAAGGTCCCTGGCCTGAACACCTAGAGCGCTGAGCCTCTGGGTAAAGCCAGAGTTGTAAGCGCCAGCGGTGGTGACTTAGAGTGACAGACTTTGGGGTTTGCACACACGGTCCAGGAGCCACTGGCACTCCAGCTGCTGAGGTTGACAATCTCTTCCTGAATAAAGCAAGAGGACCCTTAGTGTCTGTGACACTCTCGGGAGCAAACGTTGATGAACAAAGACTTTTGAGCCGCAATCAGCTGAGCAGGACCCTAAAGTTGAAGGGCAGGCCCACCACCACCTCCTTCAATCCAAGATGGACTCTTTGACTTGCCTCCCAAACATAAGATCTGACTGAGAGCCAAGTGGCCTCTTCCCAAATGGCAGAGAGAGGCAAGAGGGAGGTCTTAAACACTGCTGCAGAGGGACCCTCTGAGCCAGGAGCAGGTCATTTCCTCCACCTCCCATGTTTCCTTCCTCTCCCTCCACTCTCCCCATCTAGTGAAGGATAGAACCACACAAGACGGCACTGGATGCCTCAGCCCCAGCCACAATACAAGTATGCATGTGTGCACATATCCATCCATCCTGCATGACCTCTAGCCCCCAGCATCAGACCAGGGCCTGGGGATGCTGCAGAACGCCTGTCCCTAGAGAGCCCCCAAACCAATAGCAAGAACGGCATGAGCAGAGCTACCTGCCCTGAGACGGAAGGGTAGTCAGGATCCAAGGGACCTAAGGCAAGAGTGCGTGCTATTAGTCACCCAGGGAGAGGCACAGGCTGCCCCGCTCTCCACCATTCTAACACAGAGTGACCCGGCAGAAAGAACCGTTAGCATCGTATAGGATGAGCTTGCCTCTACAGACATCTAGGCTCCTAAGACCATGTGCCTGCTCTAGATGCCTAGTGGGGGGCTTGACCACTAAATTTTAGGACATGAGCAGCAGGGTAACCTCTGGGCCTGTTTCTGGAGAGAAGAGGACTCCCCTAAGTCTTTGGGATGGGACCAGAAGGATGGGAGCTTAAATGAAGAAACTAGCAGGTCAGAGGTGAGGGTGGGGATGAGAGACACAGACCACAGTGCTTGGCAGGCACAAAAGCTAAATGAAAGGGCTGGAGCAGAGGAAGCCATCCTGCCAGATGTGGGCAGGAGTTCACCCTGCTTGCTGCCCGCCGCCCCCCCATCATTGTATCAGTCAAGGTCTGTCTGCCTTGCCTGGCAAACAGGGGTCACCCCAGACCACTGATCTGCATCTCTCCCTTGTTCTCCAAGAGGCCAGCCAGAGAGCTACCTTCCCAGCCTCCATTATCTCCCCAACGCCCAAATTCCTTTCCCTCGTTTTTCTTGCTAAGAGACAGTTTTTAAAAATGAGTCCCTGAGCTCAGCCCTCTCCAGCCTCGTTAATTTCGTGCCCCACCTCATTTGTTCCAAGGACCTACTTTCTCCTCCCGGCTGCCGCCTTCCTCCCACCGGCTATATTCGGGTTTCTGCTCCGTCCCCGGTAACCTTGTGCGCCACTCAGAGCGCTGCGCGTGTTTCTCTCTGCCAAGGAACTCTGGATTCAAGGGAACCGCAGAGGTCAGGCGGCTGCTCACATGCAAACCCTTCCTCGCACCTGAAATCAAGATCCCTTTGCCCTGTGTGCCAAGCCCAAGGTGATCAATGCAGGGTCTCATCTGCATCCCTGCAAGGGCAGGATGCTTGCTGGCCACACAGCCTGCCTCGGCATGGTGGCTTTCAGAAACCCAGCTTCTTCCAGGAGGCTGCTGGAGACTCATCCTGCTCCCTTGACATGGTTCCCTCTGAGTGCTCTGTCTGAGCCTAGGCTGCAAGGAGGAAGCGAGGGGCAGGGCTCACTTCTTCCTTGGTACTATTTTAGACCTGTTGTTCTTGATATGAGCAGGGCAAGGGACCAAGCACCATCCTTGGCTTCCATTACCACTGGTACCAAGATACTCATTCCTGCCCCTTCTGTAGCCACTACACTGGAGAATAGTAGGAATCTAGAAACATCTTCCCCTTTTGAGCTGGAAATCTCCTCTGGGCTCTCCCTGATCCAGTCGGCACTGCCTTTAGGAAGCACTGAGAGGAAGTTAAGACTCCTTTGATGGAGACAGACCTGCAAGACACTTGACAACAGCCACCCCTCTCCAGGCTGATGGCATTCATTGCCCTGTCCCCTACCTGCTTCTATACACTCCCTCTCCAGAAGGTAGTTTGTCCCCATCCAAGGGGATAGAGGGCTGGAGGACAAGAAGACAGCTGCCACACACATTAAATACACACACACACACACCTAGCACCAAGCACCTAGCATACGCTCTGGCCTTGCTCTGGCTGGAAGTCACCAGCAGTCCAGCCCCAGAGTGCATTTTCTATAAACATCCCTCAGGCTAGTGTTTGAGTGGCTGACTCTCAGGCCCTGATGATGAGTTTAGCATTTGTTGAATGTTGAATCCAGTGTTTTCTGTACCATGGAAAGTCTTCAGGAACCTATGGGGGCTTCTCTTGGGAGGGCTGTCCCCTCTAGGCTAGCGATGCTAAAATTCCTTCCTTCAGTGGGGAAACATAAACAGTGTGGACCCCTCTTCTCCTAATATCCCAACCACAAACCAAGATACGATTTCACCCAAGTTCACTGTGGGGAACCCAATGAGTATTTTTGGCCTATTTATAGGCAACTGGTGAAGAATTATAGGCAGGAGCCTGGGTGGCCTTCAAGAAACCACACTGGACAGTCTTCAGCCATCACAGATGACTTCCCTGCCCCCACTATGTTTGTGTAGATGGACTCTGCTCTCCTATGCCTTCCATGCTTACATATACTAGCACTTCCCTGAGGTCATGTGCAGTAAGGGTAGAATTAGTGGACAGCTGGTTGGGAGGAACGGCTGGATACACAGGTCACTGACCTGGTCCCTGGCCCAGCCACCTGTCCCCTTCTATAAAGGATTGTCAACAGCCAACAAAACCCAATCACAATGGTCTTTTGCATGAGACCCAACTGACCTGAAGATGGCGGTGGTTTGGCTCCGAAGGTGGTCCCATACAACCCTGCAACCTTTTGTCCTCCAGGTCTTCCATTCTTTCCACCCCTCTCTTCTGTAAGGGTTCGTGGTCCTCAGAGGGAGAGAGAGAGAGATGTCTGACTCTTCTCCAGCTCCAGCAAAGTACAAAACCCTCGTGCACTCTCAACATGGGCCAGTCTCGGGTATTCCTCCCACTACAAAACACAAGTGAGGGAAAGGATGAGAAAAGAGGAAACTGCCAGGCGGTGGTGGCGCATGTCTTTAATCCCAGCACTCAGGAGGCAGAGGCAGGCAGATCTCGGTGAGTTCAAGGCCAGCCTGGTCTACAGAGTGAGTTCCAGGACAGCCAGGGCTGTTTCACAGAGAAACCCTGTCTCGAAAATCCAGAAGTAAAAATAGAAAATGGGTAACTACCAAAGAGACTGGCTGCGGTAATAACCTATGACATAAACACCAATGGGGGACTCATTTTAGTGGCTGCATCATTTATATTTACCAAAGCTGGAGCAGTTGCTTCTCCGCTGAAGCCTACGACTTCCCTAGTTACAGGGTTTTGTCCAAGATTTCAGCACTTGATGTGAATCTCCCTGAGGGGGCCCTAAGTCCAAACAGAAAGTTGTTACTGTCTATAAATACACAAAGAGAGAGAGAGAGAGACAGAGACAGAGAGACAGAGACAGAGACAGAGACAGACAGACAGACAGACAGACAAAGACAGAGAGAGACAGGAACAGAGAGAGCAAGTACCACAGCACAAGCTGGTGCATCTTGCCTGGCACGTCCATCATGAAGCAGGCTGGAACCAGCAACCTTAGTAACAACTTCTGACTGGCACTACAGGAGCTAACTTGAAGGGAAGAGACATTTTTAGCTCAGTCTGAGCCGTATTTCTCCAACTTCTGCAAACAGCGCATGTGATACCTTCAGCAGTCGGTCCTCAGCATCTGGCTCTGGAGCGTAACCGACAGCAGGGACAGCAGCCTGTATTGACCCTTCCTCAACACTGGGATTCTCCACAAACTTGTGGCTTCCAGGAGCCCCTCTTTCCATTCCCACAAGATACCCTTACTTATTCCTTAGCACTTACAGGCACAGGCTGGTGCAGAATTCTCCCACTTGGTACCTGTGCTTATCCAATCACAAAATTCCCAAGAATACTCCAGCTACACCTGGCCTCTGGACCCTTTGCAAACTCGTTTCCCAAGCTTGCTCTTTCACACGCAGCCCTGTGTCCTTCAGATGGGTTTCCAAACCGTCCATACACTCAGAGGTTGGCATTATGCCATCTGGATAACAAACCTTCTTCCTGAGGATGGGCAGAAAAGCTCAGCATCCTGAGCCACCATCCCCATGACAAACAGTGGGGCTACAGAGACAATTTTGGGGAAACACCCTGAAAGCCTGTTGTCACCTGTCCCGGGCATGTGTCAGGTGGCTATTGAAGTTCAAAACCAGGATGCCACACTAATGTCAAAGCTAAGGCCCAACACAGCACTGAAAGATTCCATCCGTTTTTATCAACTGCTTCCTCAACGGATCAATGTTGGGGACATGGCATGGATACGAGGCGCTAACTTAGCGCTCCCCAATTCCCAATCGTTCTTTCCAAGCCTTTCCATGTCAGCGTGCTGGAGCTCTTCCATGGAGCCCCATGTGTTTCTCCACTGGATGAACCCAGTGGGGTTTGCTCAGCAGCTCTACCCTATGATGACCAAGAGAGCATGAGGCCCCCACACCCCGGCTCTTCTCTGCAGCAGGTTACCTGGGTCCTAAGAGGCCCTGGCTTGGCACTGTGGCTGTGACCGGCTGCAGCTGTCGCCTTTCCATCTGCCACACCTGGCTGCTGGGGAGGCTGTGGCATCCCCACACTTAGTATAACCTTTGGCAGGAGGGATCTGCAGCCTGTTTAGCCTGGTGTGGAGGTGATAATTGTCCATCCCTGGGATAGGCTTAATCATCTTCAGCTGTGTTATTTTAACATGGATGCCTTCTGTGAACTGTTTCTCAGGCTTTAAAGCCTCCCCAAATCTCTTTAAGACAATTTGGCTTTCTTTCTCACCCACCTTAGGAACTTGGGCTCAACACAAATCCTTTGCCATTTGCCTTGGGCTCGCCAAGACAGACCTCTTCCTCTGCCTTGCCTTCCTCTTCTCTCTAGGCTGCTCTCACTTTACAGACACTTTTCCACGGTGGTTTAAGTTGCTTCGAGCCCCCAAAACCTTTCCTACTTGACAACCTTGTCTCCCAAAAGGACTCAGAAAAGCTGTTAACATTCCATTCCAACCTGGCCGTCCTGAGTCCAGTCCGTCACAGTTCTAATGAACACAGTCCTTTCTTGTGAACTGGACTGCAGCCATCATTTCCCCCACATACCTAGATCCCTCAGTAGTGCCTGTCCCTTCCTTGTTGTCCTCCAGCCCCTGCTATCGATGGGGGCCTCCAATGGAGATCACCATGTGTCTCTGATGTCTTGTGTGAGCCAGTCCATCAGGGACCAGGTTCCCCTGGTACTGCCTCAGGCTATGCAGCTCGTGTGTCAAGATATGTCACTCGAGTTTCCCATCTGTCCCCATATCCTGCAACCTCACAACTCAGGATCTGAGCAATCGTGTATTTGTTTGTTTAAAGCTTTTCCGTAATTCCAGCAGTTTTAACCCTGAATATTCTGATTACCGGGGTCTCCCACACCAGACTGTCACTAAGATCCCCGTGTCTGCATGCTGGATGACATTTTTTCCTTTCTCTGTGCCAAAGATTAAATTCCACAGTTGTCTTCTGACACCTCTGTTTCACTTCTTTCCTTTTTGCTACCTGACTCCTAGATTCAAGGTTTGGTGGTTTCTGGAAGAACTCACTAATACAGAGGTGATCTGGGTTCTCTGTCCACTTTGACCTCCCAGCTATAAGAAGAGCCAATAAATAACCTCCATCTCCCTCCTCTTCTAGTCAACTGTCCCAGAGAATGGAGGCCAACCTAGAGGATGCGAGTTCCATGTCTTTTTCTCATTCAATCCATCTCCTTACATCCTGCAGCTACTCTCCATGTGGCCACCTTGGTCTCGGATTATTACCCATTGCATGGCCAGGTCACCGCTGCAGCTGCTTGCTGGTACTTCTACCCCTGGTATGCTACTCTCAGGGCTTGCAATGTCTGCGCTAGACCTTCAGCTGTTCTCTGAGCATCTCCCTGCTCCCAGCACGGACCCTACCCATCAGGCAGGTGTGCCATTCCATACCACCTAGAAGGTTTCCTCAAGACAGCCCCTGCTTAGGTGGCAGTCCCTTAGTTACATATCTCACAACCTTCTCCTTTAACCATGCCGGTGTCACAACTCCCCAAAAGGCACACTTGCCACAGGCACACAGGGACAAGAAGCCATGTCAAATTTTTCTCCACCAACCCTCCACCCTTAGGCAGCATTAACTTCAGCTCTTCCCAAACTCAGGTCTTCGTTTCGTTGTATCCTGCCTGTGCTACCAACTGCAGCTAAAATTCCTTCTCTTGGGAAGATGTAAAGAGTGTCTACCTCCTTCTCCTGCCTTCCCATAACAAACCAAGATAGAATCCCACCAAGGGCACTCTGGGAACCGATGAGTTTACTAGGGCTGACACCCAGAACAATAGGAGAGGGACTATAGGCAGGAGCATGGGTGACCTTAAAGCGACTACAATGGAAGGTCCGAACATGGATGAAGGGGCCCTCTCCCTGAGTCCTGCCATGCCTAAATCTTCTAGCACCCCCTCCAGACCATGTGCAATTAGGAAAGGATTGCATACAACAGGATAGGAAGACAGGATAGACAGTCAGGTAAGGGTTCTTCTATGAAGGGCCAACCATCAATAGACCCAACTGTGATGATCTTTTGCGAGCAGAAACAACTGGTCTGATGAAGATGCTGGCAGGGTGGCTCAGAGGATAGTCCTGTACAAAAACTAGCCAAAGTCCCACTGTTGTTTTAAGACTGGGTCTCAGAGAGCCCAAATAAGCTCAAACTTTCTACATAGCTGAGAATGACCTTGAGCTGGTTGTCCTGCCTTGGCCTCCCAAGTGCTGGGTTCTGTCTTATGCGGGGTGCTGATCAAAACCAGGCCTTTGTACACACTGAGCAAGCGCTATGCCAACTGAGTCACATCTCATGACTCCATATTTTGAAACTATTTTTTCTTTTTGGAGACAAAGTCTCAAGGAACTCAGGCTAGCATCAAACTTCCTATGGAGCCAGGGATGACTTTTATCACTTTTAAAAATATTCATTAAATTTATTCATTTATTTTATACCCCGACCGAAGTTTCCCCACCCTCCCTCCACCTCTCTTCCACCTCCCAATTTGAACCTAGTCCACTCCCCTGTTTCTGTTCAGAAAGGGGCAGGCCTCCTATGGGTATCCACAAAGCATGGCGTATCAAGTTGAGGTAAGACTAGGAGTCTCCGTTTGTATTAAGGCTGGGCAAGGCAACCCTTTATGAGGAATAGGTTCCCAAAAGTCAGCCAAAGTATTAGGGACAGCCCCTGCTCCCACTGCTAGGCGTCCCACAAGAAGACCAAGCTACGCAACTGTCACACATAACTAGTGGACCTTGGTTGGTCCCATACGAACTACCGGGGATGATTTTAACTTGTGATATTACCGTCTCCATCTCCAGAGTGCTGGGATTACAAGCAGGAGCCACTATGCCCAGCTAAAGCCCCATTTCACATTAAGAAAAAGAAAATTCCAGAGAAAGAGAGAAGGTAGTGTGGGACCCGGTCTCCTGTCACCAAGAATTACAGGTCTAGAGACTCTACTCATTCCTCCCACCTCAGCAGGCTGCGTTCCTGGTCATGAGGGCCAGCATGTTTTCACCAGTCTCAAAGTAGAAGAGCCAGAGTTTCAGTGACTTGGGAGGGGTGCAGTCCCACAGGACACGCTGATCTAAGGGGACTAACCCATCCTGGCTTCAGAACCAATGATCCAATTTTCCTGGCGACACTTAGTCCCAGGAACAACACAATAGTTATTTATACTCTACCCTCTGAGAGATCCTCTCCTTGGCTTCTGAGTATGTTGGGTCGAAACAGAACCCAATTGTGGGGATGGGCTTTAAAGACCACATTGCAAGCCTGAGATGTAGTTCAGCTGGTAGATTGCTTGCTTGGGGTGCATAAGCCCGGGTTCCATCCCAGTACTGCAGAAACCAGGTGTGATGATATA